GGTTTCTCCTTGGCTAACTGATACCATTTTTGTATAGAGAAGGCTTTCCCACAAATGTCACCTATCTGTGCCTTCATGGCGTTTGTGCTTAATTGTTTTCCACATTGAAATTAGTCACCTATTACCCCCCCCCCCTTATTTAATAGCCCAATTTTGGAGTGTGGGCCCTATGAGTCAGGTTGAAGTTGATTTCTCTCCCCTAAACTCTTAGACAATTTCCCCAGCACTATTTATTGAATAATTCATTCATCCTTCTTTGTTATGCTTCACTTATTTTTCCTAAAAGACAGCTTTGCTGAGTTACACTTGATACACCATACACTCATCCGTTTTAGTAGCCTTTGGTAAATTTTGGTAGACATAGGCTTGTGCAGCCATCACCACAACCCAGTTTTCAAACATTTTCATCTTGCCCACATCTTATCCAGTGTCTGTTTGCCATGAACTTTGTATGCCAGGCTGCCCCCCACATCGGCTCTAGGAGATCATTGATCCTGTTTCTGTCTCTATGGATCAGCTCTTTCTGGACATTCATATCAATGCAATCATATCATATGTAATATTTTGCACCTGATTTTTTTTTAATTTAGCATAATGTTTTTGAAGTTTATCCACCTCATGGCAATTTTCAGTAACTGTTCCTTTTCACCGATGAATAATATTCCACTGCAGGAATATTATTTAATTATCCATTCATCAGTTGATGGAGGTTTGAATTGTTACCATTTTTTTCTTACTTATGAATAATGCATATAATGCTGCTATGAACATTAACATACAAATCTTTGTGTGGATGAATATATTCCTCCAGAGTCGATTCCTAGGAGTGAGATTTTGGGGGTCATAGGTAAATTTATACTTAATGTTTGAAAAAAACCTATCAAACTGTTTCCCACCTCATTTCCATCCCCACTGACAATGGAGGAAACTTCCAGATACTGTACATCTTTACCAATACTTGTTAGTGTCTGTCTTTTTTTTTAAACTGGATATTTAATCCAAGGGCCTCTAACCACTGAGCCACATTCCCCAGCCCTTGTTATTATTTATTTTGAGACAGAGTCTTGCTAAGTTGCTTAGGGCCTTGCCAAATTGCAAAAGCTGGCTTTGAACTTCTGATCCTCCTGCCTCAGCCTCCCGAGCTGCTGGGATAACAGGTGTGCACCACCGAGTCTGGCATATTGCATGTCTTCTTTAAAAATGGCACTTTTAAAAAATATTTTGATAGTTCTATGCACCAGTCCTTTGCAGAGTTATAATTTAAGAGTAACTGTGACTTCAATATTTTCTTGAGCAAGGGAAATTCAAACAGCTGTTTCCCTACTTCATGGATTCTCATCTCGGGCCCTACTTCACCAAAGCTGGTTTTCACCCACGACATAAAGGGAAATGAGATGTTTATCTTCCAATCCTTGCCCAGTACCTGAAAAATAATCTGAACTCAGAACCAAGTACATTTTGGCTTTGCCCTTTGACCCTCATGGTTAATCATTTCTTGGGGCTTTGCAGGAGACGGCGATGTCGCGGAGCAGTGAGGTCCTGGTGACCGCCGACTTGGAAAGTCCCCTGGGACACCGGCTGAGCAAGGCTTGTCTCCGTGGTCATCATCCCGGGTTCTTCCTCTGATGCTTTGCTCTGTGGCCTTTACCCCAGGTTTGGAGCTACTTCTGCTGTCCCGCGTGAGCACTGGACCAGGAGCCGGAGGCTGGCCTCCATGTAGAGGAGCCGGTGTGTGAGCGCTGCAGGGCCCAGCCCTTCCCAGCTCTCGCCGGCTCTTTCCCTTCTGCTCAGCAGCCTGGGCTTGCTGGGTCCCGTGTCCTTGAAAACACTGGGTTTTTCCACCGTGCGGGATGGAATTTTTCATTCTTTGTTATTCCTCCTCCTCCACAGACTATTTTGCCACCTGACTGCAAGGATCAGACACGAGGGGAAAGGACTCCCCAGGTCAGGTGACTGTGTCTGGCCACTGTTTCTGACTCAGCCTTCTCTCCAGGACATTCAGGCATCTCACTGAAGTCTGCCCAGCGCAGGGGGAAGAGGCCATTATTATCCTAAAATACGGAGCTTCACAAGCTGATGTGCCTGTCTGCAAAGTCCCTATGGAGACCAGGCGGACACACATAAATGGGCAAATGGTTTTTAACCACAGGTGCTGACACTGAGTTTTCTGAGAGCAGTAGACACTCAGCTCCTACTTGGGGATTTGTAGGAAGAATTTCACGGAGCGTGCCCCAAATTTTCTTTAAAAGCAAAAACGAAAATAAAAATCAAAACAGTGACAACAACAGCAAACCCAAACTATTTCATTATCTCTGGATGTGTTCCTCAGTTTTCCATTGCTGTGACAAACAGCTGAGAAAAATCAACTTTAAAAGAAGTAAGGTTTATGTTGGCTCCCAGTTGTCGGGGTTTCCGTGCATGGTGTGTAGGGACCATTACTTCTGCACCTGGAGTGGGGCAGTACATCATGGCAGAAGTGCATGTTGGAGGAAGCAGCTCACCTCATGGTGACCACAAAGGAAGACAGGTGGCAGAGGCCCAATAGCCCCTCTAAGGACACGCCCCCAATGGCCTAACTTCCTCCCATGAAGCCCCACCCCCCATCATTTCCCAACAGCACCACAGACTGGTGACTAAACCATTCACACGTGGCCTTTATGATTCGAACTACAGCCCTAGATGGCCCTTTTATTTATAGTGACATTACATACACATACCTATAGGAGGTGCATGAAATGTGTTCCCTGGGGCTTTTGATAGAACCTTTGTCTCTATAACTCATTTTTTTTTCACAACTGAAAAGAGATGCATAAAGGTAAATTGGAGATTTTCCCTTTTGATGACAATTTCCATTATTATTTGAAGGGAAGAAATTCTTAGAACATAGTTTAGAATCATGCCTAAGGTACACATTTCAGTACAATCTTATCCTACAAGGAGGCTAAACTGTGCTTCTTATTTGTCTAGAATTGCCACCTGTATTGGCTAGCATTTTTCATGTCCAGTGTTTGCTGACCCCCAGGTCTTGAAGATATCCTGTATTATCTAAGATCCCTCTTTTTTGCCTCTTGGCCAATAATAGGTTCTCCAGACACCTGGAATTGTGCATAACTATAATGAAATATGGGAGGCAGACTATTTTATAGAGAAAAAAAATATTTATTTAGCTCACAGTTTTGGAGGCCGAAAGTCCAAATGGCACGGTGCAGGTTCTAGTGAGGGTCTTCTTTGGCTGAATAATGTCATGGAGGGAGCATGTGTGTATCTCTGTCCCTTTGGTCTCTCTCCCTCTCCTTTATAAAGCCACCAAAATCCAATCTCATGACCTGGCTAACCTAATCATATTCCAAAGAAACACCGCAGTCAGAATAAATTTCTATCCTTTTCCTATCTTCCAGCGGGGATTAAATGTCACTGTTAGTTTTGGGAGGATAAAGCATGCTTAACCCATAGCACACTTCTTTAAAAAACAAACGAATCCACTCAGTCTGTCCTGGAGGAATTTTAAGAACAGTTGAGTGTTTATTCATGTATTTAAACTTCTTCCTATTGTGAAATATGGTGTGCATTCAGAAAAGTTAAGAAACCTTCTAAACTGGCTTTGATTAATGATCATAAATCAAACCTGCATGTAAACACCCCTCCTCCCTTCAAGAAATGGCCCGGGGCCAGCCTCCGAGCCAGCTCCGGGGCTCCCTGCCAACCCCTTCTCCCCGCTCTCTCAGGGTAGTAAAAACGTCCCAGATATTTTCTTTGACGGCTGGTATTTTTCATGTCCAGTGTTGGCCGACCCCAAGGCCTTGAAGATATCCTGTGTCACCTTCTAAGATCCCCCTCGTTCTGCCTCTTAGCCAGTAGGTCCTCCGGATACCTGGACTCGTGTGAGGCCAAGGCCAAGAGGTCTGGTTGCCTGGTGCCCAGAGATCTCTCTGGAAAGAGCTCGGCCTTCCTCGGACCAGAACTGTCAGGTTTGCGGGATGACATTCGCGCTTCCTGGTCTGTTCTGCTGATCCATTCTCCTCTTTCCTTGTGCTTTCACACTGGGCTGGCTTCAGAGCCTTCGTCATCAATCTTGGTGTCTTGCAGAACACCCCAGAGTGTCACAGCTTTTCCATTTGCACGAATTTTAATCAGCCCGTCAAGTTTCACGCACACACATATGTCGGACGTTTGACGGAAATCGCACTGATTTATAGATCGACGTTTAGAGAATTGACATTGATACTGAGATTCTCAATCCACAAACCTGGTGTAGATCTCCATTTATTTGGGTCTTTAAATTTCCGGAAGTTCACTTTATATTTTGCTCTGTAGAGGGTTGCATGTCATTGGTTAAATGCATCCCCAGGTGCTTACTATTCCTGGAATCATTATAAATTATATACTTAAGGATGATTTTTCATTTCTTGCTCTATGCAGACGGGACTTTTTTTTTGAATTTTTATCTTCATCCAGCAAACCTGTTACAATGTTTCAATTCGAATAATTTTTCTGTAGCCCCTTTTGGATTTTCATACTATAATATCGCAATATTCATAAGAGCCATGGTCTCTTTTCTTCCTTTTCCAATTCTTCTATCTTTATTTCTTTTCTTGTTCTTCTCTGTGTCTGGCCTCCAGTACAATGTGGATCAGTCATGTTGGACTGGTGTCTCTGTCCCTGAGGGACACTGAGGTCTTTGTACCCCAAGATGGGATGTGTGGGTCACCCTGCTCCAGATAAGAACTCCTAGTTTTCTGGTTTCTAAGTTTCTAAAAACTCATGAATAAATAAGATTTTGTCAAATACTCTTCTGCAATCATTGAGATGATTTTATATCGGCTAGGACCACCTCTTTATTTGTAAATGTGATAAGGTATTTGGATTCTTGGTCGCTCTTCAGCTAACTTTGCATACCTGGAATAAGTTCAACGTGGTCGGGATGTGTTCTTGTTGTATTTGCTGCTGTGTTTGGGTAGCTAATAAGAGGCTGTTTAGAGTGTTTGTCTTTGTTCCTAAGAGATCAACCTGTGATTCTCCTACTGTCCTCTTGGGTTTGGGGAATGGGATGGTCCGGGTTTTATGAACTGAGCTGGGAACAGTTTGCTTTTTGGCCATTTTCTAGACAACTTGTGTCCTAAATTTGGAGAATTCTCCAGAGCAGCTACCGGGGCAGGGAGTTTTCTTTGGGGGGAAGGTTTTGGATTATAGATTCCCTCTTTTTGAGAGGTTTAGTCCTGGGCTGAGGTTGTAGCTCAGTGTTAGAGCACCTGCCTAGCATGAGTGAGGCCCTGGGTTTGATCCCCAGAACTCAGGGATGGGGATAAAAGGAATGGAGCGATTTATAAGACCCTTCATGAACTCCTCTCTTCTCAGCGGCTGTCGGCTGAACTCTGCCAGGTAGCCTCCCCTGCAGACCATTTATAACCTGGCCGATTCTTCAGAGCCCCCAGGACAATCTTCCTACACCTGTGAGTAAGAGAGTCGTACCATCGTTCTCTAGTCCTGGAGGGACATCTGAGGATCTAAAAAATAAAGCGAAAAGAGCCCAGATCCATCTCTAAGCCTTATGGGTTTTTCTGACGGGGACAAGCTGCCACACAGGCATTGTCCTGGGAACTGACTCTGCCGGAGGGAACCATTTCCCAGAATCTAACAATCCCCTGCACCACTTGAGAACTGCTAGCTTGGCCACTTTGCCTCGACCTGGACATTCCAGTGGACTTGGAGATAGGTCCACTCTCACTGGCACTGGTTTCCAGTTGCTGAACTTAACCTCGATTCTGCGTATCTCAGACTGGCCATACAGCTCCGTGGTGGAGCATTGGTTTGGCATGTGCTCAAGGCCCCAGGTTCAATCCCCAGAACTGCGAGAAATAAATTGTAAAAATGAGAAGAGGTGCAGCGGCACACGCACGCCTATAATCCCAGCAATTTGGGAGGCTGAGGCAGGAGGATTGGAAGTTTGAGGTCAGCCTTAGCAACTTAGTGAGACTCTAAGCAACTTAGGGAGAACCCGTTGCAAAATAGAAAAAACAAAATACAATTTAAAAAAGGTCTGGCAGGTAGCTCAGTGGTTAAGCACCTTAGGGTTCAATTCCTGGCACCAAAAAAAAAAAAATCGATACTTATTCCACCTTCACCCCCCAATCCTCCTTTTTGGGGCAGATGCTTCAGCAGAACATTCACTTGCCCAGTTTCGAATCTAGGCCTGTGTTTCCCTTGACCTAAGACTGTCCGTGCCTTTATTTAAGGTGGCACGGCTGTCACCTTGCTATACTTTACCAGGTCCTGCCATGCTCAAAGGGAAAGGGGATGTCACAGTGTGGGGATCACTGGGGTCACCTCTCAGGCAGGAACTCAGGGGCAAACTTTCAAGGACCCTGCCCTCTGAGGACTTGATGTTCCTGCAATGGGATGTTTGAATCCTGTGCAATCTCGTCTCGAAGGTACTGTGGCCATGTCCCCACGGGGACTCTTCAAGGTGCACTAGTGCCCTGGCCAGCGCGCAGGTGCTGGGGGCTGGGTGCTCTGTGGGGGTCTGGAGATGGGTGGAGAGCGAGGCAGGCCGGGAGTGGGCGGGGAGTGGGCGGGGAGTGGGCCGGGAGTGGGCGGGGAGTGGGCGGGGCAGGGGCGGGGCCAGGCCCTGGTTCCTGACTTCCACGGAGGGGCAGGCCCTGCCCCTTCTCCCTCCGCAGTTCCTGTGACTGTGTGCCCGTGGGAGCTGGGGTCCTGATGGCAGCTGACAGGGTGTTGGCCGGCTGTCCCAGGGCCAGCTCCTGGCAGTGCTCGTGTTGGCGAACTCAGTAGCCATGACCCTAAACCCAGCAGCAGCAGCCCGCAGCCCAGTGTCCCTGATTCTATTCCCAAGGCTTTGGGACGCCCCCGAGACCGCGCTTCACAGCAATTCCCACGATTTCCCATCCTGAGGACGTCCTCAGGGGCCAACATCTCTACAGAGGTACAAAGGAGAGACCTCTCCAGAGCCCTCTACTCCCTCTTCTTCCTCTGGGGAGCCCCATGGACACAGCCCCTTTCCTTCGCCTCTTCTGCCTCCTGATGAATGTCCTTTCTGGAGCCCCCGCCCCTATTCCCTGGTACATTGTATGCCAAGGACCACCTTCTTCTTCTTCCTCCTCTTCCTCTTCTGTACAGGGATTGACCCCAGGGGGCTTAACCACTGAGCCACACCCCCAGCCCCTTTTATGTTTTGCTTAGAGACATGGCCTCGCTGAGTTGCTGAGGCTGGCTTGGAACTCACGATCCTCCTGCCTCAGCCTCCGGAGCTGCTGGGATTTCGGGCGTGCACCACCTGGCCTGGCCGGGACCCACTTCTTTAGGACTCCTGGCACTGCAGCCTTCACACACCTCTGTCCTCCAGCCCCTCCGTCTTCCTAGGAACCTTGGACTCGGGAGATCCTGCCCATGCAGGGAGCTCAGTTTCTGTTCTGGGAGGAGCAGGCAGTGATGGACGAGAGCCGGGGACCCTTACTTCTTGGGTCATCTGAGCATCTTGCCTTGAAGGCACTCGAGAACTGCAGCCACAGAAAGTGGGTCTGTACTTGGCCCAGCAGAGCTGCACCCTGACCGCAGCAGGGGCACAGGGGCTGCCCGGAGCCAGACGGCCCTGACACTGATTCCAGGAAAACTGGCACTCTAGGCAGGTCCCCAACAGCCACAGGCCAGTGGGCACACTGAGGACCTTGGGGGAACTCAGGGGATTCACCTGGAGATGTCCTGATTGCCTGCCTTCCTCCCCTCAGATCCCGTCCCTGCCTTTCCTCAGAGGATCACAGCCGTCAGCAGCAGCTGTGCAGGTACTGAGCATGTATCAGGTGCCAGAAGCCCTTCTGAGCCTTTGGCCCCTGGTCCCCGTGACGTCTCTGTAGAGCGGACACAATGCTCCGAGTGGAGAGGCTCACGCCCAGGGAGGGTGAGTCACTCACCCACATCCCACAGCCCTGGAGCCAGGACCCCCAAACCTTGCCTCTCTGCATCCTGTTCCTTTTCTAGGCTTCGTGTGAGCGCACATCTTCCCCCGCTGACCTTGGTGACACTGTTGGATAAAATGTCCTGTTGGGACCCCACTCACCGGGTGGACCTCCGGGCGACTTCCTTAGGGCTGTCCTGACGGGGAGGACATCCTCTGTGGGAGGCTGTGGGCCCCCGGTGCCAGCCCCCCCTGTCCAGGCCTGATCTTCACCCCTTCAGCTCTGGGAGCCCCCCGTTATATCCTCTGGATTTGGGTCAGGATCCCAGTCGGTCCACGCAGCCAGAGGCTGACGGAGCTGCTTTCACAGAGGTGGGGGGGCGGGCAGGGAAGGTAAAGGGAGCAGGGAGGACAGGGGGACCCCTCTGCCAATTTCCTGCTCACCCTCATTCTCTGGTGAGTGGGGCCGACCCTCCTGGGCAGAGGGCACCAGGTGGCACAGAATCGCCACCCCAGGGTGAGGTCATACCTTCCCCCGCTGACCTTGATTTCTCTCTCCCATCTGTCACTGTGTCTTGTTCCTCTAAATGGAAATAAGTTCTGAATCGATCTGCCCTCCCCCCCCCCTCGCATCTCTCCTTGGACACTGTAGGAGGTCCCCCAGCTCTCAAGTCCTCTCCCACATCATGTCCCCAACCCGCTCCTAGGAAGTCAAGAGCTCTTCTAAGAACCTGTGTCAAGTCACGCCCTGCTCCTCCTGAGATCCCCAGAGGGCCTGCACGCTGTGGAAACAGAGCCCAAGGTCATCCGTGTACCCAGCTGCCTCTGCTCTGGCCTCCCCTGGACAGTCCCAGGTCACCTCCGGGAAACCTGGTACCAGTTGCTGCTTCCTGCTCATCAGATTTTAAACTCCAGTCTGCTCCCCACCCCCCCAGCTGCCTGTCCAAAGGCACCCCGAGTCTCCGGATAATACCACTCCATTTGAGTGACCTGCATTCAGTGATCACCTTCCTGGTACTTTATTTGTCTGGATTTGTTGGCCTCCCCTCTGTCCTTGGGTACGCTGCAGGAATGGGGCCTCATGTATATTTACCTCTGCTCCTCAGCACTAGAGCAGCCCCCGACTCACTGAGGGCCCCAGAAGACACCGTGACTTGTGCAAGACTCACCGCAGACACACTCGCACGGCCTTGGCACCTATGCAAAGGTTTGTTCCTTGACTCCAGGGCTGGGATTGCACATTTCTTTTCTTTCTTTCTTTCTTTCTTTCTTTCTTTCTTTCTTTCTTTCTTTCTTTCTTTCTTTCTTTCTTTCTTTCTTTCTTTCTTTCTTTCTTTCTTTCTTTCTTTCTTTCTTTATTTCTTTCTTCCTCCTCCTCCTCCTCCTCCTTTTCCTCCTCCTCCTTCTTCTTCTTTTTTAAATAAAAATCCAGCAGCCTTCCACCCTCCAAGGGTGCACAGGTCCTATTTGGGGTTTTGCAAAATCACTGGGGGCTCACGGTTGGGGAAGGTCTCTGGTCCCTGCTCCTCCAGCTGCTGTGGCTGGGCCCCGTGAGTGCATTGTTGATGCACCCGCTAGGCCCTCCCGGGTGACGAGCATCCGCGCAGGGCTGAGGCCCCAGTCCAGTTCCGGGCAGCACCCCCACCCCCTGCCCTCCTCTCTCTGTGACTTGGGTGTGGATCTTGGCTAAACAGCCTGGTGACGGGGGCAAATGCTGCTTTCCTGTCTCAGGTGTCCCATCCACAAGATAAGGGTCCCAATGTCACGTCCCAGGTCCTGGGGGACATGGAAGATACACTCAGGGTGTGCGTGTTAGAGACTTAGAGAGAACCGAGGCTCAGTTCACGTTGGTTCAAGGAAACCTCAGGGGAGGGACGAACCCGTGGGAGGGAGCAGACGTGCTGACCAAGGGGCAGGCCGAGGTGGCCTGGGGCCAGCAGGAGGCCCTCCAGGAGGAAGCGTCCTGGAAGTGGAGTGGGACGCGCCTAATGGACGAGGGGGGAGCTGCAGGGCCAGGGTTTCAGTGCAGCATCCTGTCCCGGGGAAGGCCATCTGGGAGGCAGGTAGAGATGGAGGGCTGTTGGAATGTGGAAAGGGCCGGGCCGCCTGGGTTGGGCCTTGTGACTCTGCAGAGGGGGTTCAGCTCTCCTCAGACAGCTGTCACACCAGCTACCCGTGCAGACCACCCGCCCTCCCGCCTCTGTCCTTCAGTGGGGGTGAGCGGGGCCACACCCAGGAGGACAGGCACCAGGGAGTGGCCTCATGGTGGTTCTGGACATTCGGAGCAGGACCAGGTGCTGCACACCTCCAGGAGTCCAGAGCTGGCCTGGCTGAGAGAGGCCACAGCCCCGTGGCCGGCTCCGCAGGTCCCTTGCTCTCTAGGCAGCACCTTCAACCACCCTTGTGACGGTGGCTCCGAATCAGCAGTGGGCATCCAACCTCGGAGCCCGGATGCGTGTTTACAGAGTGGAGGCTGAAGGCTGCAGAGCTGGAGTCCGTTTTCCCTAGAGGCCCCAGCCTGGCCTCTCTGCCTCCCCAGGGCACAGGTGGCCTCTTCCTAGAGGCAAGGGGCACCCTGACTCCCACGGCCCAGTGACCCCGAGGAACCGGCTCCTTGGCAGATACTGGTCCTCATGGGCTTCCACGCCTGTGCCAGCCCCCGGCGACCCCTTTCCCTGGCTTCCCTCCAGGGCCAAATGGAACACTCTGGTCCTTTAGCATCTGGAAGGGGGCAGCTGGGTGACCACGGCATTTGCCCTGTGGATTTGGTTGACCTCTCTGGGGTCAGTCCCTTAGTGCCGGGACAGGCTGCATTAGGGACCACCTGGTGTCGCTTTGATTCAGAGATGAAAGGATCTCGACTGGCATGAAGCGGCACAGACCCTTGTGCCCAAGTTGGTGACAGAGCCTTCGGCAGGGACTCAAGTGGTGAGACCGGCGGCTTCCCCCCGAGGCGGCTGCCCAAGGGACAGCGCAGAAGCACTCAATAATTTAGGGACAACCTTCCAAGGGTGACTGGGGGCCTTGGGCGATCATCGGGCGACACATATTTACTGGGCACTTGGTCGCCAGACAAGCTCCCGAAGGCGGGCAGGCTGCTGTGAGCCAGTGCGGCAGATGGCCGCCCCACAGTCCTGCCTTTCTGCAGAGTTGGGGACAAAATAAAATGTAAACGAAGATGTTAAATAATGAGCTAGAAGACGGCTCAGCCAAGAAGAAAATAGCAAAGGAGAGGAGAGCAGGAGGGTCCTTGCGAAGGGACGAGATACGGGGAATATGCAACCTGAGGAAAACAGATTAAAAGATATTTTTTTTCCTTGAAGAAGCTTGGCTGGGAGCACCCCCGGTGGAAGAGGTGTAGGTTTTCTGCACAACGGGGTCGTGTGCCAGGAAGCCGACTTTCCTTGGACCCGCTTCCTGGTTGAAACCCAGTCTGTGCACCTGATGCCCACCCCCATCCTGGGGCTGAAGTGACAGGAGGCTGCAGAAGCAACTTCATTTTTTTTTTTTTTTAAATAATGGGGACTGAACCCAGAGGCACTTAACCACCGAGCTACATCCCTTGGCCCTTCTTATTTTTTTGGTTTTGAGTCAGGGTCTTGCTAAGTTTTGCTCAGGGCCTTGCTGAGTTGCTGAAGCTGGCTTCGAACTGGAGATCCTCCTGCCTCAGCCTCCTGAGTCTCTGCCCTTACAGGCATGGGCCACCGCAGAGGGCGCAACTTCTTTTTGAAATGTCCCAGGTTCGGGTTTGATCTTCAGAGCGACCTTGGAGTGTCAGACAGCTTCTTAGGTCCATGGGGGTCTGGGTGGCACCGGACCCCAACAGGCTCAGGGCTCAGGGAATGGCCCTTCTTGCTAGTCCGTTCTCCATTCTCGGGACGCCCAGGGGTGGCTGTGGCAGATCGTCCTCTCCTGCCAGTGGGTGGCCTTAGGAGGTAGGAGACGTTGAAAGTGGCCCAGGAGTGGAGGCCAGGCCCTCCACCCTCCTTGCCTGGAGGATCCCGAGGTTCTGTGTCCCCAAGGGCAGTGACTGCACTCAGTAGGTCATTGTTAAAGATCGGAGAAGAGTCCTTTCCAGGGACAGAGACACAGAAGACTCCCCCAATTTTTTAAAATATTTTTTTTAGTTTTCAATGACCTTTATTTTTTATTTATTGATCCGTGGTGCCGAGGATCGAACCCAGTGCCTTACACATGCTAGGCGAGCGCTCTGCCACTGAGCCACAACCCCAGCCCCCTCCCAAAATTTTAAGCCTCAAAATTTGTAACTATGTTACTAAGGAGAATTTTAAACATATTCAAAAACTATGTTTTAACTCTGATCAATACATCATATTTAACTCTGATCAATACCTGACCCTCTTCACCTCGCCTGTATGCACACGACTTCTCCTGTCCCGTAGATATAAGATGGAATATGATCTATAAGTTATATGACACAAATTTATAATATATGACATACATCGTGGTTTTAATATTCTGTAGCACATGTAATAGGTGCTATTCATTTATATGTGAATAAAAATCACATTCAAGGAAGTCTACACATCTCAAGTGTGCCATCTGGGGAATTTGGCAGAGACACACCTCGTGTGACCCAAACTCCCGTGTGGGTGGGGAGTGTCACCGTCACCCCGTGCCCTTCCCAGTACAGCCCTGCTCCCAGCCCCTCAGAAGAAGCATTGGTACCATTATTTATTTCTGGTTGCACATTAGTTTTGCCTCTTCTCCAGTTTTACGCAGACCGAATCCCATGCCGTCCTCTTTTGTGATGGCAATTCTCACACTCAGGATTCTGCCGTTCCTTTGTGTTTCTTTTTTAGTTTTGCTGAGTAGCATTTCACTGGGGGTCCTACAGGGAGTCTACCCCCTCACCTGCTCATGAACACTAGCGAGGTTTGCAATTTTGGACTGTTTTGAATAAAGCCGTGAACTTGTTTTGTATAAATCTGTGTGTGTGTGTGTGTGTGTGTGTGTGTGTGTGTGTGTGTGTG